TGTTGAAGATTTGCAAGCTTTACGAGCTTTCCAAGTTTTGGAAGCGGAGCTGGAAACTCCTCTACATAGACCTCTGAATTTCAGAAACCCTCCGAACACTAACGACCACTTCAATGCCCAGGAGGCTCAAGTCCAGTACCCTAACACTGGTCTTTACGCCCTCACTAACCACAAGAATAATCACGTCCTTGTCGAAAATGAGGAGCATCTTTACCAGTTACTGGACTTTGCACTCGACTTGCCCCACGGCAGACGGCGAGCACAAATTGTGGATCGCATACACCAGGGAATCGAGGAAGCCATTAGTGAGAAACAATTCCACTGGGAGGAGCAGCGTTTAAGTGTTGACGTGGGGCGAGTTGTCGTCTACAACAGTAAGCCCTCCTTCGTTCGTGAAACAATTTGAGTCATTAATGAAGACACAGATAAACATTTTGCACGACTGCCTCACTGGCCACCAGCTGTTGTAGCTGCTATGGTGACATCTGCCATGATGAATCACTTCTTCCGCGTCTCGCGGCAGGGCGGAACCGTACTTCTCGCAGGGATACAGGCCATCTTGAATGGTGTCCCCGGCCAGATATCGCATCCCCACTTGATTCTTCGAGATCCATGAACAATCGTTAATGCGCTCAACCTTGATCCGATCACAATCAGATACATATCCTGCGACCAGTGCCACGCACTCAGGAAATTATCTGAGGCACCGCTCCAAGATCGCTCAGCCGTGCTCTGTGATGAAGAAGTAGTAGTTGGCACTAGTTCAACTGGGCCTTGTGGGGCACCATTATTCAAGATGGTTAGAAGAATAGGCGGGAGAGACTCTTGGCAGCCACGGCGTGTTGTTCTTCTCCAGTGTTTGAAAGATTGGATCGGCCGGCTTCTCTCGCGTCCTGGGATCGAGGACATTCTCACCTCTTATCCTTACCATTTTATCAACACTTCGAAGCCAGGCGAGGTGATGTCAGACATTTGGGGGTCATCCACAATTTTGAAGTTAAAAGGGAGCAATGGACAGCCGTTCTTCAAATACCACAAGGACAACGAGGAGATCCGTCTTCTTTTTGGTCTTGCTGGAGATGGATATAATCCTTTCCGAAACTTGATTGCAAAGCAGAAAGTCACATCCCTGGGATTTTGGATCACTGTCCTGAACTTCCCCCCCAACCAACAATACCAGTTTAACAATGTTTTCTACCTGGGGAGTTTGCCACCCAAAAACCCACCTGTCGGTCGTTATCATCCCATCATCTCGGTTATACGAGATACGTTGCAAGAATTCTGGGACCCTGGTGTCTATTTCACTCGAACCAGCAAATACCCAAATGGCCGTCCTGCAAAAGGCATGCTTGCCCCTTCCGCCTCTGATATGCTAGCTGCCCGTGCTATTTATGGGTTCACTTCAGCAACGTCGGGGTTCTTTTGCATGAGCTGCCCGATGACGCTGGAAAAGATTGAAGATGTAGATTTGAAAAATTGGGGCCGCTGGGATTTTGAAGCACATAAGAAGCATGCATTCGAGTGGAAAGAGGCGCAGACTGCTGGCTACGAAGCATGGCATCCGATTCACGCCACTCCTAGAACTACCATACTTCGGTCCCCATCACTTCGATGCTGTAGAGCCCATGCACATTGTAATGGGTTTGATCGAACATCACTGCTGTGTGCTTCTGCAGATAGATGTGGAACACGAAGGTGGAGATGGTTCTGGTCCGCAAATGGAAGGGCCTGCGGTCTCGAAGAAGAACTGGCTCTCATTGCAGAACAACTTGAGGGAACTGTTGGCTATGTTCAAGAACCACTTTGGAGATGGAGATGCGGTTGTTAAGATCTTGAAAGAGCCTTGTGCGACTTACCGCAACCTATGGTACCTATGCTCTGCGTTTCGTCTTCGAGTTGCTGGGAATGCGAAGCAGCGAAGGCTGTTCATTCGACGAATCTTACAAAAAGTGTGTTCCCCTTTGTTCGACAAATATTTCATCCCAAAGTAACTCTTGCAAAGATGTCGCAACATCTGCCAGAAGAGGTCGAGAACCTGGTTGTCCCAGAAGCAGAAAAGCCTCCTGTATCGATAGTGAATGACCTTGAAGAAGCGGAGAACAGGCTCCGCGAGACGTTCCAAAGTGACGCCCCCAATATCTCAGCAAATGAAGTTGAAGACTGCATTGGTGTTTTGAGACACATTTATCATGGAAATAAAGTGAAAAGTATCACTCAGACAAAACCCGCATTCATCAACCTGTGTCATATAATGCAAGTTAAAGATAGGCAGGGTGTGCCCTATTTGCTTTCGACCGAGGATACCAGACAGCAAATGTATGACGCGCTCCACGCACACCAAGCTGTACGTCTAGACATGCGCTGTGATTTTGACATACACTGACCACCTTTGTAAGATTCAAGATGACCTTGCCGGCCTTGAAAGGAAGCAGGCGGACCGGAGCTATCCTCGGCAAAGATGTTATGGACAATATCAGAGTTGACATGAACAGAACAATCCTGCCTAACTGGGTCTCACCTGTTCCTCATAACTGGGGAACCACCGAACGGGGGAAACTGACTGAAAGTCAATGGAAAGTCCTGTTTACCGTCCATCTCCTGATCACTCTCATTTGGCGATGGCACAATGAAACTGGCCGTCTGAAGGACATTCTTCACAACATCTTGCTCTTGGTGACGATTATTGAAATTACGAGTTTGAAGGAGACCAGCCCAAGGATTGCGGAGGTATACAAGGTCAACTACAAGAAGTATATGGAAGGCATCCTGGACCTATTCAAGGAGGATACCATTACTCCCATTATCCACGTTGCTGGCCATGTCGGAGATAACTTGCAGGATCTTGGACCCAGCTACTCTCGAGGTGCTCAATTCTACGAACGATTCATTCATCTGTTGCAACAGACCAAAATGAATCACAAATCAGGTGAAATAACATAGGTTACAATTGTGGCTAGAGCTGATGTATGTGCACACAGGTGAAATGGAGGAGACCTTCCTGAGAAGCCAGGCTCATGCCGCCAATCTGATGTCACTAATCGAAGGAAATGAAGAAATTCGATCGCAGGCTGCCAAGGCCGTCAAAGCTATTCAAAGAGATACCAACCAAGGCGACGAAGGACTCGCTCTTGCCACTTTGTACAACCTCAAGCTTGACGACGACTTGCAGGGTCGCAATTATCAGCTGGGACCTCTGTCGAATGAAGAGAATCAGCTGCTGAAGACACGTTTGGCAGAGAAGTACAACACAATGGACGACGATGCACCTGAAGGATTAATGGTGCATGAATTGAGGGACATCACAATTGAGATAGTTCGCTATGCTCGTATGGGATGCAGCCTCTATGACTGTGACGCTCGGGTTTCTGTAATAGTGAAGGGCTAGACAGAGATGGGGATCATTCAGAACATCATTCGGATTCCGATTCGCGACCCACCAGAATTTTCGGGCTGGGACACGTACCTCATTGTTCAGCTCTTTCCGCGTCCGACTCAAAAATCAGCCACAGAAGATCCCTATGCGACATGGCAAAAACTTCTCTCTCTCGAGTTGAAACTTGAATTGAATATTCCTGGCTGTCTCTATCCTCCAATGGACGCCAACCCCTGCAGGGTCATTATCGAACCAGAAGATATCCAGAGTCACATTGCATACACTGTCATCGCCCCGGATTTGGTTCATATTCGACCGACATCCCGTGTGCGTCAGAGAACTTTATTTCGCCAGATAAATGTAATGCTAATCTCACCGCCGCAGCATCTCCGTTCTATTGGAATCGAGTATGCTTTGGACAACGACTCGGAGCAATCCGAAGAACCATAATGTACTATGATTGTGCCTCTACTATACATCTGTGCCATGCACGGCTTTTCTAAGAACTGCGAGGTGGTTTGAATGTCCATATTGGGAAGTTCAAGCTGATGGCGGTGCCCATATATATGATGATCGGCGGCACACCTGATTTCTGAGACTCACCGTCTGCCCGCCTCCTTTCTCCCTCATGCCGCTCGGTCTGGGACCCAGGCTCGAGATAAAAACCTGCTTGGAGGTTGGCGCATATGATTGTATCAGAAGTGTGGGCCTGACCGAGCAGGATCAAGCTTTCGATGATGCTATCCAGCTTCGTGACCGGTTTTAGTCGAACATCTTCATGGTTCAGCAATTCGCGGAGCCTCATCTTGAGCAGTTCGGCGCCACTGTCGGCGCTGAGAATGGTGCAGTAAATGAGTCCAGTCCAGACAGCTCACTCTTCTGGCTTCACTGGAGTCACAGATTCCAGGTGTGGGTTCCGAAAGACTGCCCTGCGCGGCTATCTCCTAGTGAGTGACGAGGCTTTTGGGGGAATTAATATGTATACGTCTTCCTGGGTTGGGGTAAGTCTCTCCCTCTTCTTCGAGGCCTCTTTTGACCTTTGAAGCAATATCGTTCGAGGTTCACGCGGGCGAGAGAACAAGGACATGGTGCACGCTCGTGGAATCAGGATGTGCAATTTATAAATCTACACGTTATCAGCGTGTGGCTGTGCTTATCACTTGATCACCCATTTCAGGCTAATTCGGGACAGTTCGCAGTAGACTTATTTGGAAATTCCTGTTGTGATGCCCTGCACCTGATCATGACTTCTTTTGCCATGCCTCGTATGCGCTGTGGACTTATCTGGAAATTCTTGTCGCCTGGTTTCTGCCTTGCACCTGACTTTCATTTAATTTGTCATGCCTTTCCTACGAATAAATATATATCCATCTAACGCCACAAGTTCCGGTTCTCGACACCTGCAGGAAGCTTAAGCATGGCAAACCAGTACTCGGCACCATCGACGTCTTTTGGTCTTCCTCAAACTTTGCGTCTGCCAGAGGAACAAAAGCACATCAATGTGATAACATTCTCGGAAGACGGGACTTTCCTTGCGGTGGCGACAGGAGGAGACTCAAATTCTGGGTGCCTCACAATCTGGGAGGTCAGCGTGTTGGAGTTGGGATTATGTCCTATCCACACAACCGGCTTGGTAGCTCAGCATTGGCAGCGCATATGCTAAGGTCCTGGGTTCAATCCCCAGCCTAGCCATCTATTTCCTAGAACTTGGATTTTCCTTGTTCAATAGGTTATGGGCCCCGTGCAAGCCAGACAGTAAAGTCCCCTAACAGGGCAGTCTGGATTCACTGCATTGGAGGAAAATAGATAGTGAAACAGCTGATTGTGTATTCCATGGATCTCAGGTTCCATCAGGCATACAATTAAGTCCTAGCTCACTAAGTGAGTGGAATGAGATTGGACCAGTCCTTCTCTGCAAGGCAAGGTCACATGGCATGTCACCTGGATCAATGTCCACTAGGCTTGTAAGTCCTAGCTTGTCAGATAACAACTGATGGAATAAAATTAGACCTATCTGTTGTGTGGTAGTGTCACGGGGGACTGTTGGAGTTGGGATTATGTCCTATCCACACAACCGGCTTGGTAGCTCAGCATTGGCAGCGCATATGCTAAGGTCCTGGGTTCAATCCCCAGCCTAGCCATCTATTTCCTAGAACTTGGATTTTCCTTGTTCAACGTCTCACGGCTTAGGCAGGCCCAATTCATCAGTTTCAACTCCCCTGTACGTGCCACTGCCTGGTGTGGCGGTACCACCATCTCCGTTGGCCTTGCCAATGGACAAATTTGGGATATGTCGTCTGCAGTACATGCATGTATTCTTTTTGTGACATAGACCTCGCTGACATCTTTATCGTCAAACTGGCAACATATCCGAGGACACAGAGCCAATATTCAGGATGACTGCGCCCATCCACAACATTGCATACGACAGCGCCTCAAAACGTGCTCTTGTGTGGGTTCCGGCCGCCAGGTGATACTCGCCAGCTGGCCGACATGTAAGTCGCTGCTGTCGACCAGGGTAACTTCCTCACATTGAAGACTCGTATGGATAAAGAGTAACGCCGTTGAGAGCACTACCGTCACATATGTCACAGTGCCTAAAAAGTCTATATTCTATATTATAAAGACCAAATATAGACTTTTTAGGGAGTGTGACATATGTGACGTCACGCAAAATTTCCGCTTAATATCAGCTCAACGAATATCTTGAATATCCGATCAAAATCCGCTTTCCGGATATCCCCCTGATATCTCAGGAATCAGTTGGGAATCAGTTGGATATCCGGGCTCCGGAAATATCTTGATGCCCCTTATGGCCACCACTCTGACATTCAGAGACTCTTGAGCAAGAATCTGGTCACTGGTCTTCAAACCATAAGCCAGATCCTATTTGTGAACCATGCCTTGCTGGCAAGCTGAATGAATGCGGCTCCTTTTCCTTCTACTGGACATTGTGCTGCAGCACCTTTGGAACTTGTACACTCTGGTCTGAAAGAATACAAGGTGTTCACCCGAGAGGGCTGGAAGCATCGGGTAATCTTTCGAGATGATCATACCAGCTTTACTGTGGCTTACCACATGAAGTGCAAGAGTGGTACATTCCAAGCATTCAAGTTGTTCAAGGCTTATGCTCAGAATCACTTTGGACGCAAAATCAAGGCGCTGCAGGATGATGAAGGTGGAAAGTACATGTCTACAGAGTTTGGAGATTTCCTTGCTTCTGAAGGCATTGTGTGACGTCACTCGACGAGGAATAGACCACAACAGAATGGAACAGCAGAACGTGCAAATCACACTATAGATGAACACTCTACTGCTATGCTGCATGAGGCAAACTTGCCCTCTTCGTTCCGAGCTCTTGCTGTTGCTGCTTACATCCATGTATGCAACATGCATCCAACCACGCATATTCCGGAGAATACCACTCCATATGAGCTCTGGTTCAAGCAGAAGCCAGATGTGTTGTGTCACACCTTCAGGTGTGGGGCTGCCTTGCATATGTTCACGTGCAAAAGGACAAAAGAGATGCCTCTGGCATTCACATTCAGAAGTGTATCTTTGTGGGATATCCCACAGAGTACAAGGGCTGGTCATTCTACAATCCAATCACCAGAAAGATCATTGTATCGGAGCATGCAGTTTTTGACGAACACTACTTCCCTGGCAATAGCCCAGAGTACATGCGACGCTGTCCAAGGCTTCCACTCAGGCCACTCCCCTCCCTGCCTCCTGTTCAGCCACCACCATCGTCTGCATGGCTTCCTGATGATGACGACGATTCAACTGCTTTTCATCACAGAGCAGCGCGTTCACCCAGTCCTCCACCATCTACACCATCTGTCACTCCATCTCCATCGCCACCAGGCTCTCCAGCTTCACCTATCGGAGTTGCTGCACGTCGTCAATTTCATGGTCAAACAACCGAGCACAGACCTCCACAGGATTGGTGGAAAGTCCCTAGCGCATCCCCCACTCCTACTCCACCTCCTGCATCAGAGAGGGACGATGAGTTGCTGCTCCAGCCAGGCAGTGCTCTGATTGTTGCACATGAAGGCCAGCCTGACAATCCAGTACTTCAGGCTGCCAACATTGCTGCTGTGCAGGCAGCTCATGCTGCTGTGAACTCTAAAGACCCTCGCTCCTATCATGAGGCTATGCGACGTTCAGATGCGCACCTGTGGCATGATGCAGCTGTTTCGGAGATTAACTCACTCTTGGAGAACTGCACTTGGGATGTTGTGGATGCTCCACCTGGTGTTAAGCCCATTCGCTCTCAGTGGGTGTTTGTGATAAAGCACAAGTCCGATGGCTCCATTGAACGCTACAAGGCTCGTCTTGTCGCAGATGGACGTGGTCAACGTCATGGAATCGACTACAACGAGATCTTCTCCCCTACCTACAAATCAGCCACCCTCCGCATTGTCCTTGCTCTTGCTGCTCAGCACGATCTTAAACTTCGTTCCATTGACTTCTCAACTGCTTTCCTTAATGGTGACCTGGAGGAAGATGTCTATATGAGTCCATCTATGGACTGAAGCAGGCTAGCCGCCAATAGAACAAGAAGCTGGCACAGAAGCTGCTGTCTATGGGTTTCAAATGTCTCCAATCTGATCGCTCGTGCTATCTGTACTCCAATGGCACTGTGCGCATCATCATCCCTATCCATGTTGATGATGGCACCATTGCTGCTAAAAGTGATGCTGACATCGATAAGGTTATTGCTCAAATCATTCAAAGTCAAGGATCTTGGTCCCACAGAATGGCCGCTGGGCATCAAGATTGAGCGTGACCCTGAGACTGGAGCCATCCATATTTCGCAGCGCCAATATGCTGAGAACATGCTTGAGCAGTACGGAATGGCTGATTGCAAGCCAGTTGACACTCCAATGTTGCCTGGTCTTGTTTTGACCAAGGAGATGGGTGCCAAGACGGAGGAAGAGATTCAGCTATACAGGGGTGTATACCTTTCTGCTGTTGGCTCTCTGCTATATCTGTCGACCCAAACTCGTCCTGATATCTCCTACGCAGTTGGAGTGCTTGCACGCTTCAATAGCAATCTGGGGGAGGATCACTGTAAGGCTGTCATACACCTGTTCCGCTACATCAAAGGCACACTGGATTTCCGCATCACCTACTCCAAACAACCACCCACACCCCATCGTTTTGTCACATACACTGATGCCAGCCATGGTGGCTGCCCTGACTCTGGAAAGAGCACTGGTGGATACTTGGTCATGATGAATGGTGGGCCAGTGAGTTGGAAGAGCAAACTGCAAACCACTGTTGCACTCTCCACCACTGAAGCGGAATATGTTGCTGGAGTGGAGGCTGGAAAGGAAGTCAAATGGATGCGCAACTTGCTCTCTGAGCTTGGTTATGAAGTGTCTGAGGCTTCTCCTCTGATGATGGACAATCAGTCTGCGATTGCAGTGTCCAAGAACCTAGAGCATCATGGTCGGATGAAACACCTTGATCTTGCTCATTATTGGCTTCGAGATGAAGTGGCCACTGGTTCTATTGGAGTTGAATACGTGCTGACTCAGGATCAACTTGCTGACATCCTTACAATGCCTTTACCTCGCCCTGCTGTTTTGCACTTGCGCAAACAGATAGGAGTACGGGGAAAAGTGAAATGTGTATCGTTCGGGGGGAGTGTTGGAATATGAACTAGATCACTCTCACTTATCATGTACCAGTCATGTGACTGGTCCTTGGTCCGTGCGCCAGATTGCAGTATATAAGTAGATAGCATGTACCTGAGGTCCCCAGTTTCTCACTGTTGACCTCAGGCAAGTAGTCTCTTCTGTTTGTACAGTCCTGCAATAGAGTTTCTCACTGTTGACCTCAGACCACTGTGCTTGCCTGTTTCTACAAGCAGAGAGGAATTAAAGAACGACATACCTGTGGGCATCAAAATGTCCTGGAACTTAAAAGGGCAGCAACATTGTTAGTTCCCTACAAAAGCGGCGGCCGTGAAACTTGTGCGCATGCATTGAGGGCAATCCAGAGCCGTGGGACACGCTTTAGACGAGAGAAAAAGGACAAGAATCGAGTTCAGACGACGTACTGCATCAAAATGCCCTGGGACTAGTACTGGGCAAGGCAACAGCATCGCTGGTTCTCCATGTCAACAGCAGCCAAAAAACTTGTGTGCATTCCTCGAGGGTTTTCCAGGCCTGCGGGACGCGCTTTAGATGAAGGACAGCAGACAGGAACATGAGTATGAACGACATACCTTTGTGGGGCATCAAAATGTCCTAGGACTGGGAAAGGCAGCAACATTGTGGGCTCCCTACAAATGCGGCGGCCGTGAAACTTGTGCGCACGCATTGAGGGCAATCCAGAGCCATGGGACATGCTTTAGACGAGAGAAAACAAGAATTGAGTTCAGACGACATGCATAAAAATGCCCTGGGACTGGGAAATTTAAAGGCAACAGCATTGCTGGCTCTTCATGTCAATAGCAGCCATAAAACTTGCATAAGGGGCATCAAGATATTTCCAAAGCCTGGATATCCAACTGATTCCCAGCTAATTCCTGAGATATCAGGGGGATATCCGGAAAGCGGATTTTGATTGGATATTCAAGATATTCGTTGTAATTTCCCAGTCCCAGGGCATTTTTATGCATGTCGTCTGAACTCAATTCTTGTTTTCTCTCGTCTAAAGCATGTCCCATGGCTCTGGATTGC